CCTCCACAACAGTTTACTTCCAAATTTGGGTTTTCTTGGTGTTCGCTCGCAAAAGTAATCACTCCAAAACTTGGATTTTATTGTCCACACTTGCTCAAGTCGTTGCTTCAAATCCTGGATCCGTCTTCCGAGCTTTTTATTTTCCTATGTCTGGTGGATCAATCTGACACAGTTGTCTTTCTTCTTTAGGAACGAATTCACGTTCCCTACCCTATTGACTTTGTCGTCGTCGACCTCCATGATTCTGTTCAGCCATTGGTTGAAGGCAACCTAGTGCTCTGATACCAAATGATGTGCGCATAGAAAATGTGGTTAAACAAAAAGTTAAGATTTCACAAAAGAGTAACCCTCCAGTTCTCAATTTCTAATTGGCAAAATAACAAAACTCAACTCTCCTACAGTAAGGGACATAAGCACCATTTTATAGACTAATTATAAATTGATTGAAAATTCAAAATTCAAAATCTAAAATCCTAAAAATAAGGAAAATTTCTTAAATAAATATAATGGTAATTAACTTCTAAAAGTAAATAAATAATTACAATTAAATTATTCAAAACACGTCCCAAATCTTATATCTCAAATTATATCAAATGTATTGCTTTTCTTTTCTTGCCAAACAAATCACAATCACATCTATTTCTTCATTTGAACTTGGATTTGATCGTCATTTGTTATATTTAAAACTACTCTTTCTTTCAATAATTGAGTCATACTTTTTGGGCCACAATTCTGGTTGACTACGAGCTTCTTGAATCAATGATTGAGTTATGTGCAATGGGTCAACTATAAATGCATCATTAAAAGATTCGTCCTCAAATCTTCTTCATCTTCATTGATATCAATCTCTTTAGGTAAAAACTCAATGGAGAATTCTCTCTATTAGATCTTCATCAATGGATTCTGAATCAGATTTATCAAAGACTTGATTATTATTATACACTAAATTTTCATCATAAAACGAATAATCATTATAAATTCGATAATCATCATAAATTGTGTTATGATCATAGACATCAAAGTCAAGAATGTTGATTTGCATCTTGATATCTTGAAAAGTGAACCGATTTCCATATCGTATTTTCCAATTCTTCCCCTGGTTTAGAATCCCCAAGGTATGTATGTCCACCTCTTCGTCATCAGATGTGTCTTTTAATTCCATTCCTTCTTCAAATTGAATGTTCAACTTTGTCCACGAAGGTCGCTGCTCCAAATGTTGGATCTTCATACTCTACACCTCCACAGGAGTTCACTTCAAAATTTGGATTTTCTCGGTATGCGCTTGCACAAGTAATCGTTCCAAAACTTGGATTTTCTTGTCAAATGCTTGCTCAAGTTGTTGTTTTAAATCCTAAAACCGTCTTCCGAGCTATTCATTTTCTAAGTCTCTTGGATCAATTTGACGCAGTTGTTTATCTTCTTCAGGAACGAATCCACATTCCCTACCCTCATGACTCTGCCGCCATCGATCTCCATGATTTTGTTCAGCCATTGGTTGAAGACAACTTAGTGCTCTGATACCAAATAATGCCGAAAATACATAGAAAAAGTGACTAAACAGAAAGTTATGATTTCACAAAAGATTGACCCTCTGGTTCTCAATTTGTAATTGACAAAATAACAAAACTCAACTCTCCTACAATAAGGGACATAAGTACCCTTTCATAAATTAATTATAAATTGATCAAAAATTCAAAATTCAAAATCTAAAACCCTAAAAAAAAGAGAAATTCCTTAAATAAATATAACAGTAGTTAACTTCTAAAAACAAATAAATAATTGTAATTAAATTATTTAAAACACATCCTAAATCTTAATCTCAAATCATAGCAAATGTGTTGCTTTCCTTTTCTTGACAAATAAATCACAATCATATCTGTTGCTTCATTTGGACTTGGATTTCATTGTAATTTGTTATATTTTAAAATACTGTTTCTTTCAACAATTGATCCATACTTATTGGGCCACAATTCTGGTTGACTATGTGCTTCTTGAATCAATGGTTGAGTTATGTGCAATGAGTCAACTATAAGTGTATCAGCGTTAATGTTATGTTAACCTCTTAAACACTTTTACATCTAGAAGATTATTCAAGCAACTTTTTTTCCAAGGTCTCACCATCTGAATAGCTTTATGCATTTTATATTTTTAATATCAAATCATATATTTTTATAAGTAAATAAGAGTAACAAGAAGGTTAGGTAGGGCTCATATTTCATATTCAAATGATAATTTTTGTTGGCGGGATGCAGAAAAAATTAATGGGTTGTGATATTGGGATTTATTTTATTTTATTTTCTCTTTCTTAATAGCTTGAATTTGGTTTCATAAATAGTTATTATTCCTTAGGGTTTTTAAACCTATTATTATTTCCCTGATGAGGAAAACATTATAAAACATTACATATTGGTGAACAAGGGTAAATTGTTATCTCCTTTCTTTCGTCCCAGCTTTATTTTTTATTTTGGGATTGTGTGTGATTGATTGGTTCCAACAAAAGTTTTTATGATAAACCAAAGATATCCTCAATCTTATTCGGGGTAGACCCAGTATTAAACTTTAAATCTCTTCCAAAGATAAGATGATAATGAGGAGAAATCGAATATATGTTCTGATCCTCACCTGTTTAGTTCTCATGCACTAACTATGCTATCATCATTTTGTCGACAACGAATACTTTTTAGCTTGAATAGTGTTACTTACACATATTTATACAAACATTATATCGCGCATAATTTTCATCATTCGATTACAGTTAATTTAACTTCATTTTTTCATACTCACGTTATATTATATCGTCTTCTCATTAAGAAACGATTGTTCATTATTTTCTCTTTAGATATTATTAACCGATTCAATAATTAACATTTTATCAATAATTTCCTTTAAATTTCATTGAGAAACAAGGTTCCGAGTTCCGACATGAGTTCTCTAAGTAGAAGCAACTGCTGTGTCTGCTAAACACTGCAGACTTGGGTTTGCCTGTTGAGAGTCCAATAACTGAATCTCAATTTTGATGCCAACAGCTAAGGTACATGGTGACTCATTCTTTCTTTCTTAAGCTAGTAATGGAAGTAGAATTTATATTATCTTCGAACTTCCAACTATAAGCTAAATAGGATTGGATGCTTTCAAGTTAAAACATCACTATATATACAGGACATGAGCACTCGCCACTCAGTTTGAAAATTAAGGTGTTTGAACGTGTTTGGACTTTGGAATAAAAGCCATTCTTGGATCGATTTAAACTTTTAGGTTGACTGTTTTCTTAACCCAGAGAAAGGTCCCCAATTTTCAACACTAGATTAATTTTGGGCCTAGTTCCAAGGGCACTACTTGGAAATATTTAATACCCATCATCAAATCATCCTAATTATTCAAAAGAAAGAGTATTTTCTAGATTATTAAGATATTATATACTTCTAATTCTTTGAATAGTTTTTATTGTTAATTCCTTAATTAGAGGTTTAAAGACATTCATTAGCAAATTCTATTAAGTTAGGTTCTTGCTAATTGCAAATGTTTTTTTGGATATAGTTCAGGTTTAGACTGAAATATTGTATTATTACCTTTCGTCTTTTTCCTTTACCTTTTATTGATCTCTACTTACTACATGGTAATTTATTTACTCTAACCTACTTTTATCATTCCTTGTTTTTGGACAGTCATCCGAACGTTGTATAATTATTCATTTTAAAGCATAAGGTATTTACATCGGCAAGTCATGGTGGTACTGGTTCCTGACCAAAAGGTGAATGATAAACGCCACAGAACCCCATTTAAATTTTTCAGCGCTACACTCCTCCTTGTATCACGTGCTGCAGCATTTTGGGCCTTGGCTATCCAGGTTGCTTTGAGAGGAACTAGAGGTGAAATGAATTGGCCCTTAGATAGCCATGTCCATAGGAAAAAAAAATTCCCAAATCAATAATATCTGTTCTTTTCGGGAGTGGATCTCGTCATCTCGCTCATCTCATTAACATGATCATGTCATATGAGAAAATTATAACCATAAAAATGATGGATCAATGGTGACAAGAGAAAAGAGAGAATAAATATTATGATAGGTAGTTTACTAAATCATCACCGTGGATCCATCTTTATGTTAAATAAAACATTAAGATATGCATTTGGTTCTTTTCTTGCTTCTTTATCTTTGTTTTTTCGTCGGTCGATTTCAAATGAAATTAATGTAACTATAACTTTCCTAATTCCTAGAATGGTACTCGGGTGTCATAGTTTCCTGAACAAAGTAGGCATTAAATTATCTCATGACTGTCAGATACCATCCACATAAACAACGCTCCTACTTTCCCCAAAAAAAAAATTGAAAAAGTGGTTTTATAGGACCGTTACATGTATATGAAATGTTAGTGATTCATAATTCATGATATCAAAACCTGTACAGGATACCCTTTGGACCACAAATTCTTGATGGACCCAGCTTTTCTGTTGATACTCACATGCAAGGAGTACCTTGCGTCTTTCCCAAAATGAATTCACTAGCATAAGATGTTTTTTCTCCGCTAGGAAAATGAACTACTGTAACAATTTTTTGACTGTACGTGCTGACAAATCCTAACTCATGGTGTCCAAGACATGATTCAATGATCTGCCAGATAAATATTTTCAGCATAAACAAAATATAGGATGTGCATACATATGATCTTCCCATTGTCTAATTTCTTTGGGCAAATGAGTACTGATTCCATATAAGAACAGCAAGACCTTCTCTTACGATGGATTCTTCAAGCTATCTTTTATTTGATAATAAAAGAATATATGTAACATCAATGTTTGTGGAAGTTATATATGACGTTGATGAAACTAAAGAAGAGTTCATGAAACAAAAATATTTGAAAATCAAGTAATATATCCATTTTGTTGATTAATTTAAGCGTCTGCAACTTGAATCAGCATATGAAATTACACAAAAGGGGCAAATAATGCTAATTGATTTTAAGGAGATTAAAAGGCATGCATGATCATTATTGGAAGCAGGCAATGTCAAGCATTTCCCGTAACAAAAATGCGTGCACTTCTTAGAACAGAAAACTTGCTTATTGCAAAAAAGAAATACTGCTGAACTTGTAAGTATTCCCAGTGAAGTTCATATTGGTGGCAGATATGTTATTACAATTGGGCTTCTTACCTTGTGCACACCATCCTTCCATACCAAACCCCCAAATTCAGGTTCTGTTTGCCGAGACTTTGCTGTGAAGGTAATCTTGTAAGATAGTTTCTGGTATTTCCTGGTAAAATTCAGGGTGTCTGGCTCAACTTTGACAGAAGTTCCTTTAAATGGTGAAACCATAACATGGTATTTGGAAACAGGAGGGCCAACATTAGTGGCAGTTCTATGAATGGTCAAAGTTGAAATGGATGTTTTTTCTGGAAACAGTACTGATACAGCTGGGTAGTTCAAGTCCCCTGGACTAGCAAGAGAGTGCCTGCAAGTTCTTTTTGAATGTTTGGCAAACACTCCTAGTTGGGAAGGAGTTAGCTTCTGTGTGCAAAGGAAATCAAAGTAATCCTGTGGCTTAATATCATAGACTAGACCTGGGTCAAGAGCTTTTCTGGGGTTAATGTGTCCAGCACCATGATCATAAGGAGTTGAAGGTTCAGCACTTGAGGCATCTCTGAGAGGCTTGATGGTGTTGTCATGAACATAAGCTGTTGTCATCAAGGCAGATTTTATTGCAGCTGGACTCCATTCTGGATGCCTAGCCTTGAGCAATGCAGCAACACCACTAACATGAGGGCATGACATTGAAGTTCCAGAGAGTATATTGAACTTCACCCTCCTATGATCTGTTGGTAAACTTGATGGACCAACAATCCCACTCCAAGCAGCAAGAATGTTCACCCCAGGAGCCACAACATCAGGCTTCAGAATTTCAAGGGTAAGAAGATTAGGCCCTCTTGATGAAAATGCTGCTACTACAGGAGATGGTCTAATTCCCAACCTCGTATCCTGAAAAGCTAGAGTTGCAGTAGCTTTTTTCCTTGTTAAGACATAGTGTTTGAGTTCCTTGCCTTCTTTCTCTCCAACTGCAATAGCTGGAATGAGGTGACAGTCTGCAACCAACTCTTCTCCATTAGCTGCAGTGTTTGTAAGAATCATTCCAATGCCTCCTGCATTTTTCACCACCTGACCCTTCTGCACTCGAGGACTAATGCCTCTGTCACAAATCACAATCTTTCCTGAAGCCATTCGACGATCCAAAGTCCCTTCCAAGCACAAAGATCTTGGATCAGGACTACTTGAGTTACCACCCATGTATACCAAAGGGTATTGCTTCTTAACTGAGAGCATGCTTCTCCCTTTATAGAGTGAGGTACCGGTTAACTTTTTTCCATTTCCAAGCTTAACATCTGCTGGAAAATCTCTATCCATTGTGCTGGCTCCAACTGTGGTGATCCAAGGTGACACATTTGTAATGGTGACAGGGTCAGGTCCTGCATTTCCTGCAGAGCATGAAACAAAAACACCCATCTCCATTGCTCCAAATGCAGCTACAGATAAACTATCATGGTAGTAAGAGGAGACTCCACCACCCAAAGAGATGGATAGAACATTCACTCCATCAGCTACAGCTCTATCAACTGCTGACAGAATATCTGAGCTGAAGCATCCACCAGTCCAGCACACTTTGTAAGATGCAATTCTTGCTCCCGGTGCCATTCCTCTGGCTGTGCCATAAGCATAGCCCAGAAGATTAGCACCACGTACTGGAGAGCCAGCAACTGTAGCTGCTGTGTGAGTGCCATGACCATCTTGATCTCTTGGTGATTTGTATTCAGTTTTCTCATCAATTCTACCTGTTGCTGCTTCATATCCACGGTAGAATATTCTCGCCCCTACAATCTTCTTATTGCAGTGATGTTTACCGAAGCCTCGCCCAGTCTCACAGGCACCTTTCCAGTGAGCAGGTACTGGTCTCATGCCTGTGTCGTTGAAGCTCTCACTCTCTGGCCAAACCCCAGTGTCTAACACTCCCACTACAACATCATGGTCAGTTACCTTTTCTGACCAGATGTTAGTGCTATGCATTGGTTCAAGGCCAAGAAAAGCTGGACTTCTTGTGGTGTGTAGCTGATACCTTGTATCAGGGAATATGGCCACAACACCTTCTTCTGCTTCTAGCTTCTGAGCTTCTTCTTGGCTCAATTTGGCAGCAACTCCATGAAAAGCAGTATGGTAACTGTAAATGATTCTTTCTTCCTTGTCCATCTCAGCTTCTACCGATTTGGACAGTACTGAGTTCACTTTTGATGAATACCACTCAAGGTGATTGGAGTAAGTGTCTGGTTTTGCTGACTTATCCATTTGAATGATGTAAGTCTTCTTGACAAATTGAGCATTTGCAGATAAGACTATACTCAAAAGGAGATAGCTTATTAGAACGAAACCTATATTTTCCATTGGAGTGATTGGACTGTTAGCCATTTTACATGCTAGGAAGAAGAAAGCTGAGTTTTTTAAAGCATTGAGTTCAAGGGGAACGAGATGGGGGAAGATAATTTAATAGGGGTTTTTTGGTTTATTGAATTGGGTTGTTTGTGTTCTGATGCCTGAAATATTTAAGACAAAGGGAGAGGAGTGATCTTTATCTGCTACCAATGCGCAGGCAATAAAGGTGAGTGGTTGTTTCGTGAGTGCCTTAGAATGGTGAGTTAAAAGAGCTACATAGTGGTTGGTGCTAGAAGTTAATATGGTCATGGTCCTCTGACTCTGAGCACTGAGCAGTACTATTTTTATTGGTTTATGTTATTTTTACAGTTCCTACAGTCACACTTACCAACATGCCGCATCATGTGAGTTTAAGGACATCAATCTTTCCTCTATCTTTTTTTCCAATCAATCATAAAATTGTATACGGTAAATTTGATTAAGAACTTAAATCCAAGAGTTCACCACTAAAATTGGATGGAGAAACATTTAAAATTGTTGAGGAAATAAAGTTACACCCTTCTCATCAATTGTGGCTATTGGTTTAGTAAGTGCTTGATTCCAACCCTGGGAGAGATTGTTGGCGAAACGACCGTACTACCACTATTTTGTAAATGTATCGCCGGAATAAAATAGATTCAAAAAGTATGGCCGAAGTAGAGCAGTCAAATTCGTTGGTTTGACTGACGGGATCAGTCCCGCCACTGATCAAGACGGGATCAGAGGCCACGTCGAATTGTGCCAACTCCACAATCCATTCCCGCAGGGAGACTTGACGGGACCAGGTGTATTATAAAATCTCTTAGGACATAATGATTTAATGGAGTCAGCTTTAATGGAATTAATGATTTAATCATGATAAATAGACACACAAAAATAAAACCTGCATATGTTAACTTAACAGGTTTTTCTTAGGTTGTTATTTATTTTAATTAATTCATTAATTATTTGTAACAAAACAAAAAACTTTCATTAATTACAAAAAAAATTAACACGTCTTTAGCTTTTTTATATGGACCACTTCTAAAAACTAAAAATATATTACAATAAATTTACTAATTATTATATTTGCTTAATATTACTAATTTTTTTATTTTTTAATTACACAAAACAAATGGGCCACTTTTTACTAATTAAAACAAATTTACTAAGGGTTTGTTTTTTCTGGTGTTACTTTAGATAACTTTATCTAATGTTCATCAAAACGACGTCGTTTTGGGACGGAAATTATGGTAATTTTATAATTTTAATTTATTTCAGGGTTATAATAGTCTTTATCACTCTAATTTTTTTAATCTTTCAACCCAAAACGACGTCGTTTCGATGAACATTAGATAAAGTTATCTAAAGTAACATCAGAAACTTTTTTCCCATTTACTAATTATTAAAACAACCTTTCCATTTTTTTAATTTTTAATTTCTTCATATTATCAGTTTCTTTTCATCACCACACTGTTTTGTCTTCAATTGTAGATTTTGGCATCTATAGTTTTGTTTGACAGCTGACTCCATTAAAGCATTATGTCTTAACAGATTTAATAATACACTTGGTCCCGTCAAGTCTCCTGGCGAGAATGGAACAAGTGAACTATGGTGACGGCACTTGTGGAGGACTTGTCACTTTACATGACGCGATTCTGGCACAATCCGACGTGGGCTATGATCCCGTCTTGTTCAGTGGCGGGACTGATCCCGTCAGTCAGATCAACGGATTTGACTGCTCTACTTTTCGAATCTGTTTCATTCCGGCGATACATTTACAAAATAGTGATAGTACGGTCGTTTTGCCAGAGATTGTTAGTTTTATTTAGTCAGCATCACTCCATGGGCTTAAAGTTCCACTCCATACCTCCTGTAATGGGTGCAGTTCACTTTTCTCAGAACATCTGATCAAACGGTTAAAATAGTCACTCTTGTTACCAAAGGATCAAAGAACAGTGACCATTTTGTTAATGTTGAAAAAATAAAATATCAAAATGTCACGTCAACAGTAAATTTTGTCAAAATGTCACGTGACATATTTCGCTACATTATGTAGCGAAATATATGTGCAAATAATTTGCTACACGGTATAGCGAAATATGCCACGTCAGAACCAAAAATACCACGTGTCAAACAGGGAGAATTTCGCTACACACTATCTGACACGTGGCATTTTTGGTTCTATGCATTCTTACGTGACATATTTCGTTACATCGTGTAGCGAATTATGTGCACACATATTTACATATTTTGTTACACAGTGTAGTGAAATATGTCACGTGATATTTTGACAAAATTTGCTGTTGACCTAACATTTTAATATTTTTTTTTTTCAATAACGAAACTTTGGCCACTTGTTCCAAGGATCAAATTGATCCAAAGAAGGACAGATTTTTCAATAGATATAGTCCTTGTTACGTGTACACAAAAATCTAATGATGGGTCCCTACTTTCACAGAAATCATGCAGTATATCTGAGCACCGCTGAGCTCTGATTCCCTAAGTGGTCAATTATTCATCCACTTAATTATTTGTGTTGAAGTTGCGGTACATATATACTCCTCTGTTTACATGCATGGTGTAATCTTCGATTGCCATTTTCTTGTTTCGATGAATTTCTGAATTCACAGTTACCGTGATATTGATATCAGCTATCTTAGTATTGGAAATGTTTGAGAGAGAGAGAGAGAGAGCTTGCACCTTTACATGAAAGAAAGAATAAGCATATAATCCAGCACAATTCCAATAAACACTTTGTTTAAAAGATGAAACACTTGGTCTTGTCACTTGTAGAGAATATGCCATGAATAAAATAAGTATTTTATTTGTTAAGAACGAGTTATAATTCAAAGGCTAATGAGTGTTTTTCAGAACTCAAAGGCTAATGCTCATATAATGTTTTTTTAATGTAGATATAATTTTCTATAGGAAAATGAATAATTCTCAAGACATGAGCATTAAATGTTTTAAATTGATTGTGAAAATTTTCTTATTCCTAAATCCGAGGATGTAGGTTGAATCAAAACTAACATTCTTTTACATCATATCCAACCTTTATTTCAAATTAAATAAACATTATTCTGGAATAGTACTGGTCCCATAAATCTTGCAGAATATAAATGTAGTCTTCGTTATTGAGTTACAGATGAAGTTGTTGGCATATAATAAATTTTAGAGAACAGATAAAATATGCCAAGTTGTTTGATTCATTATATTTAATTTCTTTCCTTTAAAAAGGAAATTAGTGCTAATGTGGATATCATATCTGCTAGCCTATAAGCCACTATAACAAAAGCAGAAGGGAAGTGCGTGCATCTTTAGTGCTGGCCTTAACCATAGTTAGAGAAGAGACATTTTTTGATGGACTTTAAAACAAAGCATATCCTTTTTTATTACAGCTCTGCCATTTCTATTTTTTATTTCTTTTGGATTATTCAGGATTTGAACTCAAAACTATTGATAAAGTGGAAACAATTCTTATCAATTGATCCACAGATTTGGTGGTTTTCCATTTCTATTTCTAATGATGAAATAAATGCCAGCAATTGTTTCTTTCAGGTAAAATGCTTGTTTTATTAACTGGTTTGGAGACATAGTTGGAAACTTGGAATTGAAGTTATGGAGCTTTGTTTTTTGGGTACCATTTCTTTTCTGTTTTTTATGAAGTTAGATATTTTGTTGGCACACAAATAGGCAACTTCGGTGAGTCCCCTAGTTAGAATCGGACCATAAGAAAAGTTAAAATCTTACTGAGAGCGTAAGGTTAGAGTAAGCCAGTAGCTAAATTGGTTTGTAGTGAAAATAAAGACACCATATGCATCGTTAGCGGGAAAAACAAAAAGTCCCCGTAGAGATGAGATATGTTATATTTATAAATTTTTTATTTACAAATTACACTATATCTTATTGGTAATACATTCTTACCAAGTCTACTATGAATAAAATATAGTTGAATTTGTAAACAAAAAATTTGTAAATATAATCTTTCTCTTTCAACATATACTTTAAGAAAAGTTTGGGGGTTTAAACTTTCTTTATACATAGTATCTGTGAGGTCCCCTGTAAAATCTTTATGAGGCACTTTGTGATAGGTCTTCCTTAAACCAAAAAATAAAACAAAACAAAAATGCATCATTTTGTGTCTGAGGCTCTTCTGGCATTTGTACAAACTAATATTAACAAAGATCACTTTTGAAGGAGACAGTACTTTAATGGCCCCTACTGCAATTGGTTAGGTGAAATTTTCAATTGCAATTAGAGCGGCATGCCTGCTTGGTTTCTTCTTTCTGTGATTTGGTATATCAGCTAGGAATAGTGGCCATGATGATGAATTAGCAGGATCAGAAACTTTCCTTTTAAATTTGGAAAATTGGAGGTCCATGCATTAAAACCTTTTACTTCTAGCTTTTTACTTTATCAAATAATGCATGTACAATATTCTCCTCAATGAAGAACTATGAAGAGTTGAATTTGTTAGTAATTTTAGTTTGAAAACTATAGTGCAAACATTGACTGCGAGATTCTTTTCACACGTAAAAAGCATTATTTTATAAAGAAAGTAAAAGTGCATTTAAAAAGTATACGCATTCATAAAAAAAAAATGTATTATAATAAAAGTAACCTACGGTACAGTATATGGCAATAAATGTGTAGAAAACTTTATATACTGTTTCAAAAGCATTGGACACTTGCGGAATGTGTCTAGACTTAAACTTTAGACTTTATGTTTATCACGTGACATAATCTAATTTTATTTTTTTACACACATATCAAAGAGGTGGGGTCCACATTTTTTTCCTTCTCTTTCATCATTTCACTTTCTCTTTCTTTTTTATTGTGTGAGTAGAAAAATCGAGTTGAGTTATGTAACATAATAATCATAAAACTCATAAACTTTAGATCAAAAGATATATTACTGATTCTAATTATTTTCATTTTTTATTTCTAATCAAAGAGTTGTCAGGTATTTAGACTCTAATGTGAGCGAAGGTTAGCACTTATGTCTAGAGCAAGCCCTAAAGCCCTAAGCCTAATCCATATGGACCCATACAAAGTTCTATTTACT